TGGGGACCTCTTGATCTGCAGTCAAATGCTCTACCACTGAGCTATACCCCCACACACTGAACAGAAAACTCAAACAGAGATGTAAACTAGCGACTGTGACCTATCAGTGCAAATAAAGACTTCCTCTGATGTTGTATCCTGTTGTGTTAAACTGACACCCTCTGTTCCAACAGTGAGTCTTCAGTCTCATCTCATTAACCAGCTTTATAACCATTAACACCACGCTGACTCTGTATGCAGTTTAACACAGAGTGTAAGTGTCTCATGTTTTCCCTGCAGTTTTACACACATTCTCTCCCATTTCATTACCATCACAACTCTGTCTGAGTGTTAAAATACTTTTTCATATGAGATTGAACACCACAGCAAATCTCCTGCAACATGTTGTTTCACACTGTTTTTGTGCATAAATGTGTGTTGGGGTATAGCTCAGTGGTAGAGCATTTGACTGCAGATCAAGAGGTCCCCAGTTCAACTCTGGGTGCCCCCTTCTTTAGAGATTCATGTAGACCTCTAATCATAGTATATTTAGTATGTTACAAGTCATCCATGCACATAAAGCAAGGAACAACATTAATATACAGCAAATTTGAACTTGTCTGGGTTATTTGCATGATCGCTTTTTTGCAACCAAGTACCATCCTGTCTGTGTGTGGGGGTATAGCTCAGTGGTAGAGCATTTGACTGCAGATCAAGAGGTCCCCAGTTCAACTCTGGGTGCCCCCTTCACTTATATTAAGTTGTGTTCATGTAAATCAAGGACTCCTGATCTTGTATTCACACCAAGCATGACTTAAAGCATTGATGCAAAAGTCGTGTTCAGATGCGAGTTTTACTCGGATGACGCAAATAGTATGAATTGTGTGATATATTTGCACAAATTGAGTCGACTATGAATGATGCGATCACGTTTTCCCGTTTCCTGTTTTTGTTTACCTCCACTCAAACGATGGGATGGTTTCCTGTTTTTCATTTACCTATATTAACGCAGATGGCCGCGAAGTACACGGACCGAAAATGAAGGAGTAACCAATCAAGACAGAATGAGACCAGCTGAGCGGGAGGATAAAAATCATGGGGGCATTTGCAAGAATTAAGCGAGTAAATACAAAACATTCGTGCGTCCAGATACACCAGACTTCGACGAATTGATGATTTTACTTCCGCTTGGTGTGAACGCAGAATCAGACCTACATGTGTGCTACTTATGTTAAGAAATTTGAGGTCGCCCTGGTCAGATCTGAGAGTGTATAAGATAATCAAGATCAGGACCTTCTGTCACTGTGAGCTCAGTGCTGACTGTGTGGGGGTATAGCTCAGTGGTAGAGCATTTGACTGCAGATCAAGAGGTCCCCAGTTCAACTCTGGGTGCCCCCTCATGACTTTATTGTGGACCTTGTTTTGTATTATATCAGATCAACTATCATCTCTCTTACTTTCATGAGTGTGTTAATGTTCTAACTCTTTACTCTCTTCCTCCCTGTTCGTGTGTTTTCTGGTGAACTGACGTGTATTTGATGAAGAAGTGAAAGGGTTGATGCTGAGGGATCATCACCTCTATTAAAACGTGTTTCAACAGCTCATTGGATGAATTGTCATCACAGGATATTTGCGCTGCAGTTTAGGCCTGTCAGCTGGACTCATTAGGTCAGTGCAGCTGTAACAGGATCGGGGAGGAAAAGCAGCATTTAGCAGCTCACTGTATGTAATCTGGATAGATTGGAAATCAATGAGCCGAGCAGCTGTTTTAATTCGCTGAGCAAAGAGAAAGTGAACAGGAGCGAGTTTTCGTAGGCAGAGAGGAGGATGATGGGAAGGAGGACTTTAGATGAATAACAGATAAGAGGGAAGATGACGGCGACGCAGAGCTCTGCATCCTGTCTGTGACCAATCAGGTGCTTCAGATGGAAATATGCTCATATATGTCTGTGCAGATGGAGGAGATGTTGTCCAGTCATGCTGTCATGTGTTTATCACTAATCGAGTCACACTGCAGGTCCCTATAAAGTCATAACAACTGCATCCGCTGTTGCCACGGTAATGAGGAAAAACGTCTGCTGCATTTCTTCCTGTTTTCTCCCTCCGATTCCCACATGACCTGGAAGGAGGGAGGCCGGATACACACACACACACACACACACGCACACACACACACACACACACACACACACACACACACACACACACAAAGGTAAACACACTTAAACAAGTGCTGCGTTATTTCACACGTGAGTAAGTACGCAGAATAACCGAGATGTTTCCTGCTTCTTCTTCTTTCAGATGAAGATTGTTGATCAATAGAATCAATAAATTACAGATCAATACTATCAGAGTTTCCACATGAGAGTGACGTTAAATGAACGTTTAGAGTTTACAGTCAGCAGTTTAAGTTTAGTAGAGTTCAGACTTCATCACAGATCGATCAAACACGGATGTCGGCCCAGTGATGGTTTCTGAAGAAACGTTACATAACCCAGAGATGCAGAGATCGCTGTATTAAGAATGTTTTAACTTCTGGTTCATCTAGAAACCAGAAAAGAGGAAGAGTTGAGGTCGTGGACTTCCCCGCCATGCAGCCACAACGTGCCCAACAAGTGGTGAAATCACCACATCTGATCCGTCTAAAACAGAGAGACGTATTTCTGACTGTCAGCATCATCTTGTGTAGGAGCTGCTCAGACTTTCAGGATGTTTACGACCTGACAGCTGCAGGTGCTGCTCCGGCCATCATGGTATTATAAGATATAAGAAACATGATTTTTGAGGGTTCCTGGGTAGCAGGTGTTTTAGAAGCTCGCTGTGGTTGGTACGCCAAAGAAAAACATGCTTTAGTACAGGGGTGCCTAACCAGTCCATCGTGAGAAGTAGCCTTGATGACGGTAAATACATCTCTTATAATCAATCCAACCAGGTCAGGTCACACACATGCTGAGGGACGCTCGCTGGTACGGTGGTTAGCAGCTCAAACGAAGGAAAACTTTTCTGTCTACTCAAACGCAAGGCCCATCTGTCTCATCTGCAAAACCAGCGCGGTCATACAAAAGAAGAGCAAGTTGGAACGACATTTGAAGACGTACGCAAAAGTTATGGGACGGATTTACCCGCTAAAAAACAGCTGCAGGAATTAAAGAGTGAGCTCTCCGCACAGCAGTCTGTCTTTACCCGACCAAACACCGAGGGTAAGACTGAAATAATGACATCTTATCAAGTTACTAGCTGCGTTTCCATTACCCATAGATTTGCGCAAAACCTAAATATCGCAATAGAAAACTGGTAATGGAAACACCTACATTTCGAAAAACCTCCCAAATATCGCTAAAAAGTTTTTACGCTCTCATGAGGTGGTTTTTCAGAAGTGTAGATATAGAAGTATATCGCAAAAGTGTAATGGAAACACTTTTCTCGCAATTCTCTGTCACCGGGCGTGACGTAGCGGGTCAAGTGACCAGTTCATTTCAAGCGTAGATGGCACGGTATATGTGGACGGGGGAGGAGACGGACTTATTTCTGAAGTTTTGAATTGTATTTGTATTTTTCTGAAGTTTTGAATCCACAATTCGTCTGTGAATTCCTCATTAACGATCCTCTCCCAGAAATCGCTCATCCGTGTTCGCTCCCATACATACGGGCTTTGCCTTTGAATTATCACCCGCTGCCTTCGTCTTCTGATGACAGCAGCGGCAGCAGCAGTAATGGTCACAGAAATAGCTGCTCCAAAACGAAAAATGTTTTGTGTCTCGTCCATGTCGGTGTGCAAAAAGGCTTAAGGAATACGAGGTCGCACGGGCAGGAAGTTTACCTCGTTGCTAGGCAACGGCCATTTAAACACGGCTCGCGAGAGGCAGACGGCTCGCTTATGCACTGAACACCATTCAATGGAAACACCCGCAAATCGCAATTGTACTTTGACGAAATTTGATAAACATCGCTTTTATTTTGCGAAAAAATGTAATGGAAACGCAGCTAGTGATGCTCTTAACAAACACAAGAAGTCGTTCAAGGACGGTTGTTGTTAAGGAAGCCTTCGTCGAGGCTACTGATGCACTTTTCAGTGACTCACGCTCAGGTCGGATGAACTGACTGTCATCTGGACGCCTCGATTTTTTGTGTGTTGTCAGCAAACACTGTGGATGACTGTGTGAACTATTCGATCTAAACAGACTAGAAACTTTGGAGTAGATCTTGATTCAGAAAAGGTCGGACTCTCCTGCTTTAGTCGAACCTCAGGTGATGAAATATGAAGGTTCCAAAAACTGCAGTTCCGCCGGTGTCCACTAGAGGCAAAATTAACGATGTTTTCAGCCTCCGTCATACACAGCAGTAGCTCATTTGTGAGTGCTGTGTGGAAAGAGTCCATGAGACCTGCAGGGCCTTCTTAGCTCCGCCTCCTCGTCTATTTCTTGGTTGACCAAAAATTCGGTTGCATCAATATCATAAACAAAAGTATTTGGTAACGCTTTCTTTTACAGTACACTTATTACCAGGTAATTTACAGGTAATTACAAAGTAAGAACATGAAATTATCTGGTAATTACATGATAACTACTAAGTCAATACTGTCCAGGTAGGTAACCTTCCATCATCGTACAAATTTGGAGCTGAATTGCTCTGGTATTTCCAGGATTTTCTCCACTTCCTGGAACCACCACTTGCACAGTAGCTTTGTACGCATTCGGCGGGTGAGTCGCTATGATAATGATCGGCTCAAACAGCGTATCGCTACGCAATCTTCGCACGCCCATAGGCTGTATCAAGTGTCAATCATAGAAAATAAGAACCCCAAATAGTTTTTGAAAATGGAAAAAGTAGACAGTATTGACTCAGTAGTTATCATGTAATTACCAGATAATTTCATGTTGTTACTTTGTAATTACCTGTTAATTACCTGGTATTAAGTGTACCGTAAAAGTTACAAATATTTCCAAAACAGGAAAGTGGAACAGATCTAAATGGAGGTTGATGATTTTCTCCTGCGTCTCCTCTGAACTTGTGGAGGTCGCTCAGGTCATCTCCAGGTGCGTGCTCGTGTTGTGGTGCGTGCTCGTGTTGTGGCGCGTGCTCGTGTTTGGTGTGCTCGTGTTGTGGTGCGTGCTCGTGTTGTGGCGCGTGCTCGTGTTGTGGCGCGTGCTCGTGTTGTGTGCTCGTGTTGTGGCGCGTGCTCGTGTTGTGGCGCGTGCTCGTGTTGTGGCGCGTGCTCGTGTTGTGGCGCGTGCTCGTGTTGTGGCGTGTGCTCGTGTTGTGGCGCGTGCTCGTGTTGTGGCGCGTGCTCGTGTTGTGTGCTCGTGTCGTGGCGTGTGCTCGTGTTGTGGTGCGTGCTCGTGTTGTGGTGTGTGCTCGTGTCGTGGCGCGTCCTCGTGTTGTGGTGCGCGCTCTCTCTCGTCTCGTCCTCCGTGTCTCACCCTCCTAAACCCGGTGACAGCCGTGTCCCACAGCTGCTCCACGCTCACTGCCTCATTGTGCTCCTTGTATATTTAGCTGCCCCGTTCCACTTCCTGTGCTGTTGTGAGTGGGAAAACACACAACAATACAGCCGTGATTCTCTCCGCTGACCCTCCCCTCGCCTCGCCATCCTCCCCCACCTCCTCTTTTCCTCCCTCACGCCTCGCCCTGACTCAGTTCTCCCTCATTCCCTTTCCATCTCATCAAAGCGCTCTTTGAGAAGGAAACTGTGAAGTGATTCACAGAGCCACAACAATGCCAGCGGGCAGCCATGTTTTTCCGGATCACACTCGGCGTTTGATTAGCTCCAGTTCAGATACAATATGAGGGTCGAAAACGGAGCGAGAGGCTGTGAGATCTAAAAGAAGAGCTGGCAGGGAGGGAGGGGAACGCCATCAGATATTACTCAGAATTTGGCATGACTACATGCATGTACTTTACTATTCTTGGTCCTATTGTGAACCTCAGGGTACAGGACAATAGACTCGGGGGGCCGGGTCAGATCAGCCGGGTGGTTCCCAAAGTGTGCAGCTCACCCTCTTATTCAGAGAGCTGAAAAAACTCCTTAAAAACTGGATTATAAGATGTTTGTTGGTAGATTAGTTTGGTATACTGTTTGATATATGAACCAGAGTGGAGTTAAAGTTGACCTTTGACCTCCTCACTGATCAGAGACAGAGACACGCTGCAGTCAGAGTCCGTTAATAAACCTGACGGTGGAAACTGAAGTTCTCTGTTTGGATAATCTTCTCCAGATGATCCAGTACTGATGTCAGATTCTCTCGCCAGCCGCACAGCGAGCAGCAGAGGTCGCGGTCAGCCTTTGACCCGCGTTTGAACTCTGTGGCGGTTTGCCTCATCCTGAAAGTGGCGACATCGACAGAGGAAGTTGGCAGGAGGAGAGGAGGGAAGAAACTCGCTCTATTAATTAGATCAGGATACAAGACAGGAAGTCAATTAACACACACTCTCTCTCTCTCTCTCTCTCTGTCTGTCTCTCTCTCTCCCTCTCTCTCTCTCTCTCTCTCTCTCTCCCTCTCTCTCTCTCTCTCTCTCTCTCTCTCTCTCTCTCTCTCTCTCCCTCTCCCTCTCTCTCTCTCTCTCCCTCTCTCTCTCTCTCTCTCTCTCTCTCTCTCTCTCTCTCTCTCTCTCTCTCTCTCCCTCTCTCCCTCTCTCTCTCTCTCTCTCTCTCTCTCTCTCTCTCTCTCTCCCTCTCTCCCTCTCTCTCTCCCTCTCTCTCTCTCTCTCTCTCTCTCTCTCTCTCTCTCTCTTTCTCCCTCTCTCTCCCTCTCTCCCTCTCTCTCTCTCTCTCTCTCTCTCTCTCTCTCTCTCTCTCTCTCTCTCTCTCTCTCTCTCTCTCTCTCTCTCTCTCTCTCTCTCTCTCTCTCTCTCTCTCTCTCTCTCTCTCTCTCTCTCTCTCTCTCCTCTCTCTCTCTCTCTCTCTCCTCTCTCTCTCTCTCTCTCTCTCTCTCTCTCTCTCTCTCTCTCTCTCTCTCTCTCTCTCTCTCTCTCTCTCTCTCTCTCTCTCTCTCTCTCTCTCTCTCTCTCTCTCTCTCTCTCTCTCTCTCTCTCTCTCTCTCTCTCTCTCTCTCTCTCTCTCTCTCTCTCTCTCTCTCTCTCTCTCTCTCTCTCTCTCTCTCTCTCTCTCTCTCTCTCTCTCTCTCTCTCTCTCTCTCTCTCTCTCTCTCTCTCTCTCTCTCTCTCTCTCTCTCTCTCTCTCTCTCTCTCTCTCTCTCTCTCTCTCTCTCTCTCTCTCTCTCTCTCTCTCTCTCTCTCTCTCTCTCTCTCTCTCTCTCTCTCTCTCTCTCTCTCTCTCTCTCTCTCTCTCTCTCTCAGATGAGTGTAAATCATGAGGATCTTTCAGAGGAACTTGGACTGACCTGCTGTGAGCTGGTTTGACCTTTACTGAAAACTCTTCCTCTGTTGGTCGTCTAGTCGGAGGAAATAACGTCGATCTGAGACGTATTCAGGGTGAATTCATCCACGGCACGTCACTATATGAAAGTAAGTCTATCAGGGCGTTTTTACTCACTTCATTCGCCCACGTCAACAGAGTGTTTAAAAACCGTGGATAACCATTTATGCTAACTTCAACAGTGATCCTCGCCAATTCAACTGGCGGGATCAAGTGATAGACGACGGTTTTAACAATTGACCAGATCTGTAGGACTGAACCACATTCAGCGGATCGCTGTTTTGTTTTTGTTGATGAAGGACCACGACCGTCGTAGATGTAGGCGTCGCCGTGTGTGGGTCTCCTCCAATAGCCACGCCCAGATGACAGTTGTTTCCAGCGTTATTTTCGGTTACCTGAACCCAATTTGACGACCTGTTGGTGAGGGGCGGAGCCAGCATGTCCCTCCAGGATACCGATTACAGGCGCTCTATCCCAGCTGAAGATCGTCTGTCCGTCTGTCTACTGTGAGGAAAAGGATTTATGTTTCTATTTTCACACCAGAGAACATCTTCAGGTCTGTTTTCATACGTCACCCGGGAATCTTCATGCTGATTGGTTATCATGATGCAAATATTCGCTCAATTTGTGTGAATAACTTGATCAGTTCACGTCATTCGCCCCGTCAGAGTATCACTTTGTCTAATCACGTCTTTGCGTTGACTTAGCATGTAATTCATTCGTGCGAATGATTTTACTCGCGCTCGGTGTGAACGCCCATAAATCTGGTCCGTCTCTCAGCAGGGACTCTTCTTCAGCTCGGCCATCTTGTCTGTATTCAGGAGCACGTGCGCTCTCGTCGATCAAGACACTGATGTGATTGAGCAGATGGAAAAATCAAACATGTTACAGACTTCCTGTTTGGAGGTCATGAGGTCATGTCCACTCTGACGGTTTCAGAGCTGACAGGCCTCGACACCCGACAGCGGCTGAATTTATTCATGTTTCAGTCGTTCCTTAAATCCCTGCAGCCTGTGAGAATCAGATCGACTTTGTTTCTGAAGAGGTTTTCCATCAAATATCATGATTTATAATGAGCACGCAGCTTCAAACACCAGGATGTAGCTCAGATCAGCTCAGCGGACCAGGAGAGAGAACCAGAACACTGAGTCTTGATCAGCTGACTTCACTCAGACTGAAGAGGTTTGGATTCGATTCTCCGTCTGTTAATCATTTGTTCTATTGTCTAAATCAGGCTGATGGCGTTTTTTCCTCCGTCCTCTCATATTGTATCTGAACTCTCTGGGCGTGGGAAATCTCCAACGCTGCACCTGATGACAGATCTGGAGCTGCTGCCTTTTCAATGGAACAGAAATAGAGTCCATGATTTCACACAGAGGTAACTTCCAGAGTCCGAGCAGCTGTGAGAGCCGTGGATTTGTTCTTCATTATTTCACCTGCTCACACACACACACACACACACTCACACACACACACACACACACACACACACACACACACACACACACACACACACACACACACACACACACTCACACACACACACACTCGTGCACATCTCCTTCCTCTCGGACATACTGGGAATTCCACGTTGCACATCGAGGACTGATAGCGAGCAGAGCTGAACACCTGATACCCTTTCAAGTTGTCACACACGCAGACACACACAGAATATACTGTACGTGTGAAGTGGGGTCATTGCTGAGACGACGCTTCGCTCTTCATCCTGTAGTGACAGGAGTGCGCCCCATCTGCCTGTCAATCATTCTGAACGCCGCGCATGAAGGTGAAAGGTCAGTGTTTACATCAGTATATGTGTTAGTGTGTGTGTGTGTGTGTGTGTGTGTGTGTGTGTGTTTTCAGTCCAGGAATAGCAGCACAAGGATGCCTGCTTCCTCCGTCTCTATCTCCTCTGGGAGGAAGAATCTGCCGTGACCCTCGGCCTCCATGGCGACCCGTCTGGTCCTGACCCTGAAATCAAACCCGGACAGAGAAACACCGAACACAGAATCATGAGTGTTTTCACTCTTTAGAACAATTACACCTGAATATAATGAAAACTCTCACATGTTAAAGCAGAGATCTCCTGTCAGAGGAAACGCTCTCTAAGGTCAAACCATCTCTGATGATATTCAGACTCATCAGCACAATCACTGTGAGGTTATTGTCGTCGCTGCATTTGCAATCCAAATTATTTACCAGCACTGACGTGAAACTGACAGGATAAGAATCCGTTTGTCATGATACCGTCTCCTCACATGCAAAACAAAGTCTCAATAAAGCCACTGTAGGCGGTTTTTATTTACCCTCTTCATGACGGGATTTAGTTTGAGTATAAGGTTAGGACGTCAGCAGAAATGGTCTCAGGATCTCAAATTCAGTGTCAGATAAAGGGCTTGACGGTATGTCCCACAAGATGTTTTAACACCAAATTTAATTTACAGTAAAATTCTTCCAAAAATGATTAAATTTTTTTTTTTTTTTTTAACAAGTAAGATACTGGATCGACTTTGTGGTCATCAGGAAGAACCTGACTGTCACCGATAAACTCGTGCACTGTACGGCTGCATGGTTAATCTGATCATATCTCTGTTGAAGAGTAATAAAAACAGTTCTGTTCACATGTTCAGATGTACGACGAGGAGGAAGAGCATGAGGTTAAACCCAGGTGTACAGATAGATAGATGTCATTTCTTAAGCTACGCCCAGGATGGTGCGTCAGTCGCTCTCCACTACAACCCTCTCTGATTGTGTTTGATGCAATTAAAGAAAGGATTCTGCTGACATGTCTGTCATGGTCATGGTCATCAGGGGTCATCAGGGGTCAGACGTTAGCTCAAACAAACTTTACAGCAGCCTGTGGTTTGGTCGAGATCAACCCCTAAAAAAACAAGAAACATGTTAAAACAAAAATCAAAATGTTTTTTTTATAAAATCTTCATCACAAAAATGAATCATCAGTTTACTTTAATTTATTGCTTAGACAATAATAACAGCAGATTTTGTTATCTGTAAATTTTCGGTTTATTGTCCAGCTCTATTTAACATTCATAAAGTTTTGCTGTAACAGACAAACTGAACTTGTCAAACCACCAAATTTCACAAGTCTGCAGGAGTAACTCAGTTTCATAGTTTCATGAAAAATGTGATAAATTTCTTTAAACTCGTTTTTTTTTCATTTAAAAAAATCCTCTCTGAACAAACCCAGAAGACGTCGTATTTTTAAAAAACACCAATAATATCATGAATTTAAGGCTCCTGTTTGTTTTGCTCCTCCATGACCCCAAAAATAATCCCAGCAGATTACAGCATATTTGGTCAGATTGTTCCCACTGCTCCGACTCACATCCTTCAAAAATACTTACAGATGACGTAATGCTCTCATTACATTACAGCGACTATATTTGTGTTTATATCTCATGTTCAATGAGCACTGAGAGTTTTTAATATCTCTCATTATATAACATTTAATATAAGATTTTAACCTTTTTATTGTAAACACTGTATTCAAGGTCGTATCGTATTCAGAGATTATCATCCTGGATTGGATCAGTGTTTACCGCAGAGTTATTTTTTTCTACCTAAACTCACTTTGAGGAGTTTTCATGTTTTCTTCTGGTGACCCATTCCAATGAAATGAGCGTCTTATTTTCCAGGAAGAGAACTGCATTTCCCATGAGCGCCATCATCCGCTGTTGTTACAGTGTTGCTCACGCTGAGTCGTTCATTTTTAACTATTTTTCTAAATGAGTGATGAGAAAATACACTCATCTGGAGCTATGTTAAATGATCAATAACGATCAATAACTGGGTTAATGAACGGTGATTGGATACAGCAGTTGAACATAAATCCAATCAGAACACAGATGCTAAAATCTGATCATCTCATTTAACCTTACTGTCATCAATGTGCGAGTGACACCATTTCAGTCTCATCAAAAACTGCTGACAGTACCTTTAAATGAGATTTAAAGTCAGGGTAATTAAATGTGTGTCATTGTTTTAGACTTTCCCTTTAAGAACACCCATGGGTGCTCAGGACTCCTGCACCTAAAAAGGAGGTGGTGGTAAACTCTGCTGCCTTCATGAGGAGAGGGACAGGCTGGGGGCCCTGGCACAGAGTGGAGAAGGAGGGTCAAGCGAGACACACAAGACTTACACTTCCTGTGAGGGACTTTCAAAATAAAATAAGACATTTTTTCAGGGCGAAACAAAGTCTTTGAAAAAAAAAGCTTAAAAAAAAAAGACAATTTCTCAACCAAAAATGAATAATTTAGAGTCATAGAGTGGAGCAGCTGAATCATCCTTCACCTAAAAAGGAGGTGATCTATCTTTTATTAATATTTATCTTATACTTCTTATACTATACTTCATTGATATTGTTCTTCTTTTGCACTGCTCTTTCCTTTTTTTTTTTTACATTAGTTCTTTATCTTATTTATTTAGTTTTTTGTACCCAGTATCTATGTGTATATTGTATGTACTGCTGCTGTTAATGACTTAATTTCTCCGCTGAAGGATGAATAAAGGAAATCCAATCTAATCTAGTCTAAACTAATCTAAACCATCATCTATAATTTTCAAAGCTCCAACATTTTTAGTTATTTCTTTTTTTCGAATTTAATAAATTTATCTCATTGTATCACGTTTTTTTCCACCTCATTTTCAGCTTTCTTTATTCTGTCCATTCAAGAACTACCGTCAGCGTTTCAATTATTCTTTTATTTTGAAAGCAAAAGCGCCCAGTTTCCGGTATGAGTCGTCTCTCTCCCCGTTAGAGTCGGTGCTTAAAGCAGAAGGAGGGAGGACCTGCTCCTGTGTGGTGAAGCTGTGCACCATTCAAGACGGAACCAGAGAGGAGAAGCGCAGAGATCAGTCCGACAGAGCGGAGAGGAGAGCGGAGACACGCCGGGAGAAGGAGCTGAGAGCGGGCAGGCAGAGAGAGGAGAGGAGCGGGAGGAGCCGCAGATATCAGTGTTCAAGAGTGCCGAGCTGGGGGGAGAGGAACTGGACTTCTGCTGCAGAGCGTCCGGGGAATTACGCACGAACGCGCCATTGAAAGATGAACCAACTTTTACGCACGGACCTCTGGCTGTGCGTGTTTCTCAGTGCGTGTTTCTGAGGGGAGGAAAATGCTGCGAGTTTCACCCGGGAGCTCTTTAACTGAGGATTTTTAAGTGGAGTTTTTGAAGGTTTGATCAAACATTTTAAATCATCCATCTTGGAGGAAATCTTGGATCCTTCTTCGTGCCCCCCCTCTGACTGATATCCTGCTTTAGTGTCGCTTTAACCCCCTCGGGTGCCGTGTAACCCTTCGTCGCGCACCTGTCCCACTCCCCTTGACGTCTCCTTTGGTGAGTTTTCCACACAGCAGCATGGACACAGTCAGCCGTCTCGCCTGCGTGTGAGTCACCATGAGCGAACATTTGGACACGCTGCGTTCATAAGCACGGACACACTTCAGGATATCTTACACTCTGAGTTTTGCACGAGCGCCTCACGCACGATACCGGGACGAGGCTCGGTGCGGTCGGGGGGGATTGGACGCCGAGGTGCTAAATGCCCAGCCGGTCGCTTGCGGCTCCTCAGGCTGGGCGGCAACATGAGGTCGTGGGTCCTGCTGCTGCTGCTGGCTGCGCTCACGGCGGCCCGTCTGCGGCTCGGCAGCGCTGAGGTAAGACCGGGGGGATGAGCTGGGGGGGGGTTATTACACCTGAGAGTGACAGAGCCGGGTTAACATGTCAGAAAGAGCCAGCATGGACATGATTTCAGAATAAAAGGATAAAAAAAAAAACAGAATGAGTGATTTCAAACCAACATCAGGTTCTTTTCTCTTTATTTCACAGCTTGAACTCTTTGTCTCCTCTGAGGTTAGAATGAAGCAGTTTGAGATTTTCCTCATTCTCTGGTTAAGTTGGGAGAAACACCTGAGTGTGTCTGAGACATCATGATAAAGGAAAGTCATATTCTACAGCATGAAGTTTTGGTAAAAATCCTCTTTCCTGAGGTCTTTGATCAGCTCTAATCTGAGGTCGGTTTCCTGAGTAAATAACAGGTTGGAGACTCAGAGACAAACAGGAAAATATGATGGTGTCTCCACATGGTGAGAATTTTCCTGCTCTGACATACATCATAGGCATCATCCCCCGAGGTGACTCTACAAACTGTGGGGTGGATGTTTTTAGAAACAGTTTAACTGCAGGGCAAAACACACTACACTTGTGTGTGTGTGTGTGTGTGTGTGTGTGTGTGTGTGGCAGCCTGCACTTCAGTCTAACTAGTTCTCCCTCTGAGCTGCTGGTGTCTTCTGAATGATCTGTTTCCCTCTGCGGCGCCTTTTCATGTTTCATAACCCCGAGTGTCACGATGAAGAGAGGGGGTGAGGGGGTGAGGGGGTGAGGCAGGGCTGCTGGACCCTGATACAGGACTAAATCTACAGCGTGGATCTATGAGCCGTGCAGCTGACAGGTTCAAACCTCACACTGAGACCTCCCTGTGGAGTCGTCTCTCTGTGTCCTCGCCGCATCATGAGGTGTTTGTCTCTAAAATCTCGCCGTCCACGCCCTCGTTGTCATGTCCCATCTGTTGTTGGTCATGTGAACGAGCCATCAGATGACATCTGTCACAGCCAGCAGCTTGTAGCATCGTGGTCGTGTTTGTCTTTCTTCAGATACAGTCAGTAATAACATCGTCAGGGTCTGATTTACACAAAGTCAACGAATACAGAAGTTTACATCAAAGTCCTGACGTCAGTTTCAGCTGAAGTTGACAGTGAACACTCAGACTGTCTCTCCGTCTTTGACAGCTGACCACATAAACTCCAACAAACTCCATTAGAGAGAGTATCGAGCAGGAAAACAGTAAAATGGTCAAATATTGTGATTTACTGTCCGTGTGTGAATGTCAAATGTTCAAATGCACGTCTGCAAGCATCTCCAGTAGTTTTGTTGTGTTTCAGGACGAACTTCCTGGATTTGAGGCTGAACTTTTGCATTTCAGAAACTATTATTTGCACATTGAGGAGGTTTGCATGACATTTCAGGCCGTTCTCCTACATTTAAGGCAGTTCTTCTTCCATCTTACACACTTATCGTTACATCTTTAGGCAGTAATCGTCGTACTTCTTGCCTTCTCAGCAGGTTTGAAGTACATTTCAGGTCTATTTATTCCACTTTCTGTATTGTTTTTGGCGTACAGTCGGTACCTCTTGCATTTAAAGCAGTTTCTCTTGAAGGTCAGGCGGTAATTCTTGTTTTATGGCGATCAAACTTTGCATTGAAGGAACTGTTAATTGGACTTCAAATACTGTTTCTTGCATTTTGGACATAGTTTGTTGTATTCCATGTCGTATTTCATGTATTTTGAAGTAGCATCTCCTCTATTTTGGACATGTCCTCTGGCGGTTTCTCTCATATCAGGCAGTATTAGCTCTGATTGTTCTGGAGGTAGAGTTCAGGTCATATCTACTGCAGTACAGACAGTATTCGTCGCCTTGTTCTGTGGTTTTCTTTGCATACAGGGTGAATTTACTGCAGTACTTCGTGCTTGTTAGACAGTCTTCTGTGTGTTTCATCCTCTTCTTTGATTTATGGAGCGTTTTTAATCCATGACAGACTTTGTTCCCTCGATTTTCAGCTCATCATGTGATTCATCAGGCAGCACAGTTTGGTTATTGTGTGTCTTGTTTGTTGTGTGGGCTCTATAGTGAGATCTAGTTTAGTTTAGGTCTAGTTTAGAGGAGTTAACAGACAGACGACCTGTTGATCTAACAACTCTGTGAAGGTTTAGTGCAGATCTTTGAGGCTTCGTTGGACTTTTGTGTTCTTATTGTGGAGACGTGATGAGTTCTCCTGCAGCATGTAAAGAGACTCAGACCTCAGACCTCAGACCTCAGACCTGCCCCACATGACCCTCTAATCCTCCTCTTGTCACAATGTTTGGAAAAAATGAAGACTCTTTTTTTTTGGTGTCCCAGTTCCTCCACATCTGTCCATGGAAAAACACACACACACACACACACACACACACACACACACACACACACACACACACACACACACACACACACAGATTATTCAGCAGAGTCACTACAAGTTCACACAGACTGACGTAATGATGCAGTTCGAACGCCATCATAAATAATGAGATGATTTCTCTAAAGCGTGCAGCGTCCAATCAGATTCAAACACAGAGTCTCACACTGAGGACTCACAAAAGGACCCACACATCGGGTCAGACCATCATCTGCTGCTCAAATGACAAATGCTTCATCACCGCACACACACACACACACACACACACACACACACACACACACACACACACACACACACACACACACACACACACACACACACACACACACACACACACACAGCTGATTGGTGGCTGTTGAACAGGTCTCGCTCTGACTATTGTCTCTGCAGGCGAGCTGCGATGATTCGCCGCCGCTGCTCTCGGCTTGATCCATTTTACATAAGAACAACAAATAATCTGCCGGGGATTTCACGGACTTGTGTGGCGTGTGGCCGTGCGTGTGCGCACATCTGCTCGCATGGCTGCTTATGTGTTAGTGGACATATGTGCCTGTGTGTGTGTGTGTGTGTGTGTGTGTGTGCAGCAGAGGGGGGTTGTGCTGATGTCGGTGCATGTGATGTGAGTGTCAGATAGAAAAAGCGCAGCAGCACATCAGAGTATTTGTCGGTGAGCTCAGTGTGGCGCAGTATTACAACGCCAACATGTCGTCACAGTCTGTGGCGTTCAGGGTGTAGATGTGCAGGAGAATCTGCAGTATGCATCAGAAGATTAGACTCAACTTTGACTTCACCTCCTCCTGGAAAGTTCAAGATCTCCCAATTATTTTCAGACAGTTTCTGCAGGAGGAAAGTGAAGACAGCTCCGTAAATGTGAAGCAGCTTTGATTAGGCAGCGAGACAACACCTGAGGATAAATCAAACACCGTCTACCTGAACCCCTTACAGCGGTGTTGTCAGTCTGACTCTCAGCTGCTGCAGGGCTCTGACTTTGAATTAGCTGCAGGTATGCAACGTTAACGGGAGTTAGCCTGGAGTGTCAGCTGTTTACTCAAGACGGCGGGTGTTAGTTTAGATTTAGAGGAAGAGGAAACTGGAGACGTTTTCTGAAGCTCCTGTTTTCAACCGCGATACAAATACAGAGAAACTTTATTCTCTAGAGTTAAAGGAGACTTCATGGAGTTTCTCTTCTGTCTTATCTGTGAGTTACTGAGCTCTGCTTTAATACGATATAAGACAGTAAATCATCAGCGTACAGAGAGAGTAAGTCTTCATGTAACACAAGCAGAAGTTGAAAATGTGCAGAACCTTCTCGTTTAGCTGTTTGCTCACGACGGTGGTGTTAGTTTAGGTTCTTTACAAATATGGAGAAACTGATTTTCTAGAGTTAAAGGTGACTCCATCAAGTTGATTTTAGGTCTTATCCCTGATTTATAAATCTCTGCTTAAAGTCCCACTCCCATCGTCTTTAGTGTTCTCAGTCGTCTTTAAATTGTGATTATGAAGTTTTTAGTCAAAATCTTGTTACCTGTGACTTTTCTTCTGCAGAGCTCCAGGAGCTCATTAGTAATTCACCTCTGAGTCGTGGGCGGAGTCAGCGCTGCTCTGCACACTCCTCTTCATGCTAGCTTGTAGCCTAATGTTGCCAAAGACATGATGAAAGTTAATATAATTAACTTTCTGATGAGCGTTGTAATCCGCTAACGCACACGCTCGTCCTGCGGTTGTCCTCTCGACTTCTCCGAGTCTGGCCTGCAGGGCGGAGTTTGGATTTGTGACGTAGTTATTTTTCTGATGACGTTTCCTGCAGCATCAGAAAAATGAACATATGAAGACGACAAGAAAAAAACATGATTTTCATCGGAGCGGCTCAGACAGAAAACAGATCATCGTCTGCGTACAGAGAGAGTCGGTGTTCAAGTTTGAGGAGAAAAACAAACGTGACTGTGAGAAATACACACGCCAGTCACATGGTTACACAGCAGGTCGTCTGTTTGACGTGTTCAGCGTTAGAGGAGTGTCCAGGTTCAGTGGCGTTCTGGATCGAGTTGAGGTGATGACGCTCATCCTGACGTTGTGGTCCATTCATGGTAGTCATGTTGTGTGTGTCAGCTCCGCCATCTTGAACCCTGTTAGACCGGGGGGTGGTGCCGCCTCCCTCAGAGACCCTCTTGAACCCTCTCTCCTCCTTTTGATCACTCTATCTCCTCTCCTCTCTCCTCCTCTCGTCTGTCGTCTCTCCATCCATCACCTCTTCCTTCATCTCTGCAGCCAGGAGGGAACTCTCGTGTGTTTGAGCGGCGAGCTCTGCAGGCCTTTCACATTTTAGACGCCGTAGCGCTGGCTACCCGCCATTCCTCTGATGGAAGAAGGCGTGTGTTGTGAAATCGCGGCGTGATTGTGTGAGTCACCCTGTCACACACTTGGATTGGGCGCTCTTTGTTTCTGTTTACTTTCCTCGCCTGTTCCTCTTTCTGATTGCGTGTTTGTTTATGTATAACGGCGTGTGAAGTGTGTGTGTGTGTGTGTGTGTGTGTCTGTGTGTGTGTGTGTGTGTGTGTGTGCAGTCAGCTGGCCCCATAATTACATTCCATTACACTTCACCTTTCTCCTCAAACATTCCTCACAATCTCTCTGCCTCCCAGGCTTCCCTCAAGGCCCCCATGCAGTGTGTGTTTGTGTGTGTGTGTGTGTGTGTGTGTGAGTGTGTGTGTGTGTTTGACCTGCTTGTTCATCATGACTTCCTCCTAGACTGCCTTTTCAACTTCTGAGTTTAGTAACACACTCTCACGCAGCGCCAGATTTATAAGAGATGTCACACTTCTAAATCAGTGTTCAGCAAAACGGTCGGTTATTTACAGACAACAGAGGCCTGTGTGTGTGTGTGTGTGTGTGTGTGTGTGTGTGTGTGTGTGTGTGTGTGTGTGTGTGTGTCAGACTCACTCTTTTCCACTATTATTAGCTTGTTGTCCGACTTTTTTAAGCAGCGGTTTAGTTCCTGTGTAAGTAAAGGACTATTTTCTGAGTCTGGGTTTTTATTTGTGTTTAAGATCAACAGTCCCTGGGATGTGTGTGTGTGTGTGTGTGTGTGTGTGTGTGTGTGTGTGTGTGTGTGTGTGTGTGTGTGTGTGTGTGTGAGGCTCTCATGACAAATTGGGTGGATAGTTAAGTGGTTAAGCATCTGTGTGTGAACTGGAAAAGAGGGGGCAAGTGTGTGTGTGTGTGCGAGTGTTTGCTTAACTAGGTCAGCCAATGGCTCATGAAAGTCATCCAGGTGTCCTGAGCCACCGCCGCCGCCGCCGCCCACAAAGCAGACAGACGGAGTGAGAGACCAGGAGAGAGAGAGAGGGAGAGAGAGAGAGAGAGAGAGAGAGAGAGGTGGAAAAATGTAGTAAAGTGATTTCCAAAGGCGTCTCTGCAGTCAGAAAGATGGATCCCTGTCAGGTGAAGGAGGAGAAAACAACAAAACAGCTTCATGTTTAAATTCAAACATGTTGGATGAAAATCAGCTGATAGTTTTGATGTTTTTTTACTATAAGGACCTGATGCAACCAGACAAAATCAACAATAGAGCAAATATACAGAGTTTAAACATTTAATATTCATCCTAAAGGTGTAAACACAGAGATTAATACTTTAAAATCACAATTACATTTAACTGAAGTGAAAAAATATTGCACCAGAGAATATCAGATTGTATTTTTAATAATTCAGGATGTAATTGTGCTTTTTTGCACAATTCTCCTGCATAAGGGCCTGTGTCCACTAACTTTAAACTGTTCATTGATTAACAGTTCATTAGTGATTATTGATGTAAAACACAAACAAATTTAAAAACTGAGGTTCAGTGTTTTTAGGGTTTAGGATGTAACTGTTTTTGTTGTTTTTGGTTCTTGGTGCTGCGCTCAGAGCGCTGCTGGTTACAATTATTTAACTTTGAAACTCTGCAGTTTTACTTTGTTGTTGTTGGAGGTACAATTTTTGTGGTAATGTCAGAGCAGAATCATTTTCCATTCAGCAGTAGAAAAAGACTAAAAATTAAGATCAAGGTGTGCAACCGGAGATTAAAAGCACCAAAGGGCCTGTGTCCACTGACAGCGTGGTTTTGCTCTAGGAGGGATTACTGTTCATGTTAAACAAACAAACAAACAAAAAACAATGAAGTTCAGTGTTTCCAGGGTTTAGTATCCTGGATACTTGGAATTAACAGACTTTATTTTATTGTTGGTGAGGCAGCATTTTTTGTGGTGATATCAGAGCAGAATTCTGAGAATTAAACTGAAGACATGCAACCAAAGATTAAATACTTTTTTAAGGGCCTGTGTCCACTAACAGCGTTTGTTCACTCCAGCAGTGCTGATGCAGTGAAGGAGTCTGAGGCGACTTTTGTGAGTGTTGATGAAAAACACAAACTGAGACTGTGTAGAAATATGCTGTTGGTGGACACAGGCCCTAAATAGTCATCAAGCAATTGTAAGTGTCTAAGTTACGTGTGTTTGACTTTAGTTTTTTTGTAAATGTAGTTTTAGTTTTGCTTGAATGTATCCTGAAGTCGTCTCTTTTTTAAACATTTGCAGCTCTTAGATTTGGTGACAGATTTAATAGAGACACAGAAAACGACAACAAACATCCTGATTTTCTCTCTCATGTTACGTTATTGTCTTTTTGTTCTTCGAGAGTTCAGGTGGGGTGAACTTGTGCCGGGTGAAGAATAACCACCTGCTGTCTTATCAGAGACTTAAAGTGAATTTTAAACGTGTTATTGGGGTTGTTGTTAAAGTGAAAAGGTCTAAAATTGTAAACGTGCGATCTCTACCGTCATAAATATTGCGTAACAGTTGCAGCGAGAAGACAAACACTTTCACTATTTTCCCTGGCATCCTGGAGAGATAGGCCAAATATTTTCCTCTCACATTCTTGACACTCCTTAATTTGTTTTGGCGTCTCTTTGGCATGTGACTGAATCAAGTGATGTTCCAACCACTCGGAGATAATATCAATTTACAGCCAAGTAAAGAGCAAATGTGTCACGCAGCGCTGAGTAATCTTTCTTTGATCTCGGCACAGAAACCACACGAGTCTGTCCTTAAAAACCAACCACACTGAAGCCTTCATCAAACCCCGCCATGGCGTTCATTAAAACCTAATTAAATTCCTCTTCTTCCTCCAGACTGAATCACATTACTTGCATAACTTGTTGACTTGCAAACTCATCTAACAGTTTTTTTTCTGGGCCCCTTGAGATTCTGCATGTGGCCTTTTTTCATGAGCTATCGTGATCGTCGCAAATCGAACTGAAATTACGTTTAGAAAGTGAAAGACGGCGAGTTTCCTGTGTGACAGCGGGAGCAACGGCGGTGTTTGTGGGTAAACAGACAGGGAGAGAGCGACAACAGCAGCAACAAACACCAATCACAACCATCGTTTCCTCTGCAGGAGGAAGTGAAAGTGGAGCAAGTGCTGACTGGAGGTGAGGACTGAGATATTCTGCAGCGGGCCGCTCTCTCTCTCTCTCTGTGGAGTCTTCAGGGCGGGAAAAACAGAAGGAGAGAACTCTGATGAAGTTATTATCAGATGATATCAGTGATGATTCTGGTCCTGTCTAACTGAATGTTGATGGTTTTATGTGGTTCAGAGCTTCAGGGTCCATAATAAAGTGCAGATCCTTCAACAGAGGTCTTGGAAACCTCCTTTCACTCAGGAATAGATCTGCAACAGGTGACCTATAGATGTCTCTTTAGAGGAAACATCAGGAGTTTTGAGGACTAGAGCCTCTGTACCCCATCAGCCTGAAACATCAAGAGTTTAATATCGACGTATAAAGATCGACCTCCATCTACGGCAGCTCAGAGAGGACAAACCTCTGACATACATGTCTCTGTGTTTGATGAGCAGCATGAAGGAAGATGAAAATGGTTGACTTTTGATAATAGAGTCAAACATACGTGCAAGAGGGCTTTTCCATCTAGACTCTGATCACTCTAGATGTCACTGAACACTCCCATCTCTACACACTGGACCCTTAAAGTACGGCTGTTATCCGATCATTGCTAACATCGAAATCTGATTATTTGATTATCATGATGTTAAAAAATTAAAATCATCAAATCGATTTTCCTCTCTATCATGTCTCGCTCCTCCAGGCCACCGTAGGCTCCTCCTCCTACACACACCAGTGTAAACAAACATGGCGTTTGCAAAAAAAGGCGATAATTTGGTGGTTAAATAGGACAAGAGCGAGTCAGTCATGTTGAATTGGTACGACTTCACAGTTTCAGATGAAGAGTAAACCACTCCCCGCTGTAAAGTCTGTCTGAAGGCGGTATCAACCCGTCACCACGGAAACTAATTCAGGAGGAAACGCTAAAGTTTTTTTGTCGTATCAGCGTTTCAGGTGACTGTAAACTAGTTATTTAAAGCTTGAGTTTATATGACCTGCCATGACGGCCTAATTCTCTACAACCTGGATGTAAACAGGAACAGACCAGTGAGGCGGAGTTTGACGGCGGTCACCTGCAGACTCTCTGATCTCGGTTTTATAAATTCTGTTTTTGTGTGTTTTCTAAATCTGAAACAGGTTTTTGTTGTTTCTGAACATCCATATGATCTCACTGGTTTTACTTGTATTTGGGTGACAGGCTGTAGATGTCGTCTCTCTCTCTCTCTTTTATTGTTTTTGTGAAGAAATATCTCCTTATTGTTCATTCATGATTGATTTTGTACCAGAATAAATTCACTCCTGACTCAGAAACATCCATCAGTGTTTGTGCTGAGTGGTGGTGTTACAGTGACGCTCCATTAAACAGCTGATGGAGCTCAAACTCAGAACACTGTTTCACTCCTCTCAGGTGTAAAAATGTCCTTTTTTCCCCTTTTTCTCCATTTTTTGACATATTTCCTCTAAAGCAGCGTTTGCTCAAACCGTCTGTTTGTTTCCTGCGTCATCACTGTTGTTCATCTCTCTCTCCACAGGGTGATCCTCTTCCTGTGTCGCTGGTCGACCAGGTGAGGAACTCTCCCATCTCCTCTGTGGACGACCTGAAGCTTCTACTGCAGCAGGAGACGAACGCGATAGGTACATATGACCACCGCGCACACACACACACACACACAAACAAACACACACTAATAACACAGACACGGAGGAGGTGAGTGTGTGGGTGTGTCTGCAGAGGCCTGAGGAGATAGGAATGCAGCAGAATACATGCCAAGCCCCGTGTTAAGGCAATATTTACCCGAGACAGCGGCGGCAAGAGTGATGAGCCAGCTTGATGAAAGAGAGAGAGAGAGAGAGAGAGAGAGAGAGAGAGCAGCTTTGACCTTGTTGTGTGTCGGACAAAATAAGACCAAGAGAGCGAGAGAGAGAGGGAGAGAGAGAGACTTCCAGCACAAGGTCACTGCATTGTTCTCAGAGGTCTGGATTCCTCTCCAAGTTTTGAAATATAAATGTGTGTGTGTGTGTGTGTGTGTGTGTGTGTGTGTGTGTGTGTGTGTGTGTGTGTGTGACCGTTAGAGACCACCCCCCGCCCCCTCTCCACTCCCCCGCCCCCTTTAAAAAAAGCGAGTCCAAAACAAACTTGTGCACGCAGCTCTGCAGCTGATTATAAACCCATTTATGTAATCACTCTGTGGAACCGAGTCACACATACATTTATTAATGGGCAGGTCTTTGATCGCTGGTTTCATTAATGCATGAATTACAGAGTGACATAACAGAGAGAGAGAGAGAGAGGGAGAGAGAGAGAGAGAGAGGGAGAGAGAGAAGGAGGCTCAGGAACAGGACAGGAGGAGGTGACTCCACATGTTTGCTTTTGGGAAGAATCAACGTTAAGTTTGTTCCTTCACGTCTGCCGTAGTTTGTGTAGCCTTGTCCCCATGCATGCACGTCACCTTATGTGCACCTCCTCCAGCCTGCAGGTCCTGGACTAAACCTGGGGGGGGGGTACCGTCATAAGTCCTGATTTACAAAGTGTGCTGTTTCTGACGTCGTCTCAAGCGTCGCTCTCTCTTTCTTCTTCACGATAATCACAGCGTGAGCAGATTCTGCTGTTTTTAAATCTCTTTAAATAAACGGGTTCACTTCCTGCAGAGAGGATCGACTCAGGCTCTCAAAGATCTGCACTGACTTTAACGCTCAAGACCGGACTTCTCCAGACTTCAACGTGAAATTAAGTCCCTGGACCCAATTATTCGGTTCACATCAGGGCTGCAGGATTTATCGATGATCAGATTATTTCATTATGACGATGTAAAAAATATTAAAATCATCAAATCGATTTTCCTCTCAATCATGTCTCACACCTCCAGGCCACCGTAGGCTCCTCCCCCTTCCTGCAGTTCCCACAAACACCAGTGTAAACAAACATGGCGTTTGCAAAAGAAGGCGATAATTTGGTGGTTAAATAGGACAAGAGCGAGTCAGTCGTGTTGAATTGGTACGACTTCACAGTTTCAGATGAAGAGTAAACCACTCCCTGCTGTAAAGTCTGTCTGAAGGCGGTATCAACCCGTCACCACGGAAACGAATTCAGGAGGAAACGCTAAAGTTTTTTGTCGTATCGGCGTTTCAGGTGACTGTAAACGGTACTTTTTGAAAACGGGTCAGAGAGTGAATAAATCTGTAAACGACGACCATTTCCTGTACAGCGTTACAGCGCCACTTACTGTCTTGGCATATGAACTACATCGTTTTCAGTGGTTTAGTTTTGAGAGACGATAGAAAAACTTCATATTAAAGTGAAGTTTGGTGAAGTTGTCAGTGAATCGAGTTTTCACAGGAAGAAAAATCTGGGTTTTATTATTGTCCATGTTTCACAGACATTAAAGTCCGTTCCAAAAGGAACAGTGAATCCATCAGCTGTTTCTCTTCTCATGTTTTTTCTCACCGATAAAAATACTTTTACAAAATTGGAGCCAAATTCCAGTCCTAAGTCTCCATGTCCTGTTTTTTCATGCTCTGCAGAATAAAATGAGTCACATGTCGTTTTCATGAAAGAGGAAGTTTTAGAAAAATTCAGTCACAGATAAATTCAAAGATAAAATTAGAAACGAGCTTCAGGGACTGAACTCTTCTGTTTCAGCACCAGCCGCTTAATTAGACTTAACTTAATTAAACCTCATGCATCTGTGTGTAACACACACCTGCACACACACAGTGACCCACAACAATCTGCACCAGGGTTATAATTAGGACCGAGAGGCTACAGTATGGAATGACGACATATGCTGTAGTGCAAACACACACGTCCACGTCCACACACGGCTAAATTTAACTCCTCCTATCTCTCCTCGCTCGTATTCTCGACAGCGCCGGGACAAATTGTGGCAGAAAATAGCTGAATTGTTTTAGCCTGAGTAGAAAAAATGTCTTCCTCTCTGCAGTGAACAATGAGCTTTTGGAAAATCTGCTCCATCCGCCTCTTCTGCTCCACAGATTTCTGTCGTCGCTCGTTAAAGGGCCGGCTCAGCGCGCCACGATCTCTGTTAGAAACTTGGACAAGAATAAGTCGACTCCATCAGTCTGTGTTTTTGTGTCACTCGCTCCACTTATCTCACACCCTTTTGACCTCCCTTCCCGTTTGTCTTTTCTCTGTAGAGGAGGAAGAAGACGAGCATGATATACCCTCCAACCACACCCACGCAAGATACGCCAGAAGTCTCGGTAGGTTTCTGCGTCTATTCCTGTCCTCTCCTTTCCTGTTTGTCTTTTTTCAGCCGCGTGTTTCTGATGTTCTTCTGTCAACACAAACTCATAAACCTTCTCCTTCCCCCGAACCAGTGGAGGCGCCGATGGCCCAGCAGGCGGCGTGTAAAGTTCGGACGGAGGTGATGGAGGTGACGAGGTCCATGCTGGATCGCCGTAACGCCAACTTCATATTATGGCCGCCGTGCGTGGAGGTGCAGCGATGTTCTGGATGCTGCAACACCAGAGTGCTGCAGTGCGTTCCCATGGTCACCTCCAGCAGATACCTTCAGGTACTCAAACTTCACGCCTCCTTGAAAAAAGAGCTTCGTGACTTCGGTTTGAAGATTCTCACCTGCTCTCTTCTTGATTTCACTCCAGGTTTACAAGATCCAGTACATCAACCGGAAACCCCACTACGACAAGGCCATCATCTCGGTGGAGGACCACGTCACCTGCAGATGCCAAACCTCCACGCCGCCCTCGTCTTCCTCTTCTCTTCCCGTTCCTCGCACTTCCATTCTCAGCAACCCCAACCCACCTCCGCCACAGCAGCCTCCCCCGTCCTCCCACATCCTGCGGCCGGTCCACCCTTCTCCACCAAAGACTCAGACGTCCAAGGCCGACCTCCACCGACACGACGACCTGAAGCACAACCAGCAGCACTTCCGCCCTGAGGAGCGCGACTCGGTGGCGAGACAGTGGCAGCAGGGCAGCTACACCCAACTGGTGCACTGGACGCAACCCAGGGCGCACCAGACACCGACACATGTGCAGCAACCGACAGTCGGGGTGCACCCGCCGGTCCACGGCTGGCCGTCTGAAGCCAGAGCGGAGCATAGCATCATGGGAAGTACGCCGCCTGTTGGGCAAGGGAGCGGGTATGATGGGAGCAAGGAGGAAAGTGGCGTACATGTAGCAAACGGCGGAGGTGAAGAGCATCATCCAGACCACATGCAAAGACAACAGCAGCTCCTGCAGCATCAGCAGAGACAGCAGCAGCACCAGTATCACCAGCAGCCGCATTACCCAACCCAGTACAACCCCGGAGGAGCGGCGGCGGCGGCGCCGCACGACCAGGAGCTGAGGACACAATACCGACTCGATGCTCCACAATCAGACAGCGCCTCCCCTCCTGCCAGCCCAACCGAACCGCCCACAATAGACCCCAACCCCACCCCTCCTCTGACCACCAAACAGAGAGACTCAGTGACCACCCTAAAGACCCCCGAGGTCACGAACCCCAAACAGACTGAGACTGCCACGGCCAGTCAGAAAGAGGGGAACGAGAGAGAGGAGAGTGGGTCAGCAAACAGCGGGTCCGGGGCAGAGCTGGCCAATCAGGGGACGGAGAAAGACTCAAAGGTGACCGGTGGGTACGGTCACTTAACGGAGGAGGAGAGGAGACGGCTGACTCTGGAGACGATCCAGAGAGAACTGGACCGAGAGACTCATCTCCATCCACACACTCCTCAGCAAAGACCAAAACCCACCGCATTTAAAACAGGTACTGCTCCGCCGGGGTGTGGGCGGGGCTTCAGAAGTATGAGTCCAATCACACGTTAATGTTAGTGCATGTGTGAGTCAGGCAGGAAGCAGCAAACTGAGCATGTGTGGCTGGACCTCATGTGTCCTGCAGTTCTTCCACCAAGAGCTGGAGCTCCTGCTGCTCCATGTTTGACCTGAGGCTGCAGGTCCTCATGGGCTTTGTTGACCAGACCTCCAGGTTATTAGCTGTCAGTCAGAGTCTGGAGGCCCTGCAGGAGCTGCACACGGAGTCTTTATCTGAGACGGGAGCTTCGCATGCTCACGTTGAAGACTTGTTTGCATAAATTGAGCAGATGTTAAAAGTTTGTCCCCCTTAAACTCAAGTATTCTCTGTCCTCTGCTTCCTCTTGTTTTTCAGCCCTCCCCACAGCGTCGTCTCTCTTGACATCAGCCCGCCAAGCCCCATTCAGACCGGCCTCGCCTCGCCGCCGCAGGAGGAAACACCGCAAACGCATCAGCAAATCAGCCATCAGAGCCATGATCATGTAGAGCTGCAGGTGAGAGAACGAGCTCGAGCGATAAAGGCGGGGTTATGATTTTGATCCGATAGCTTGTTGGTTATTAGCTTGTTAGACATTACAACATTAGGACTGGACAGTAAAACATTAGGAATACAAAGATTCTACTGTCATTACATATTCATATCATCGTTACTATACCCCACCATTTATTTTTTTATTTAATATATATATATATTTACAAATGTATTTATTATTCTATTATTTATCTATTTATTTTATTTTTTATTTTTTTATACATTTATTAATAATTGAATTTTTTTCTTTTCTTTTTTCTTTTTTATATATTTATTTATTATTCTATTATTTATTTATTAACCTATTTTATTTTTATTTTTTATTTTTTAGACATTTATTAATTATTCTTTTATTTTTTTATACATTTATTAATAATTGAATTTTTTTCTTTTCTTTTTTCTTTTTTATACATTTATTTATTATTGAATTTTTTATTTTTTATTTTATTTTTATTTTTTTACACATTTGTTAATTGTTCTATTATTTATTCATTAATATTTCTTTGTTCTATTTTTATAATAATAATTGTTATTTTATTTTTGTAATGATTATTTTATGGCATACTTCTTTCATTTTCTCTTCAACAATTATTACAATTTAAAGGAGGGGTAAAAGAGGGACAATCACACCCACAAACACACACACATAAAAACAACCCCCCCCCCCCCCCACACACACTTATTTAAACAGCCTTAATCACCTCTAGACTTAATCGTTATATGTCCCTACTTTACTTGTCACTTTATTGTTTTGCCTCCAATGTCTGTTTGAGTTGCGTTTCTGTTGTCAACCGCTTGTCATGATCTGTTTTGCATCACTTAATAAAAAAATAAAAAGCCTGTTAGGTTAGCTGACGTTTAAAAAAAGGTCACGGTTATCTCATTGTGCTGTTTCTGTCTCTACTGCAGGGATCGGTGAACGGCGAGACACTTTGCACCAAAGGAATATAGAGAAAGTGAATGTGGGAAGACTGACAGCTGCTCTTTTCAGTGGATATCTTCAGAGGGAGTCACCTGTCCTGCTCCAGAGCTGCCGCAGTGCGTCCAGCTTCATGGATAATATAAAAGTGCAATCTTCAAAACTCTTTGGGAAAGAGGATATTTATCACACTAACACTGGAAGTTATTTGTATGAACCACAAATCCAGTGAATGTGTTTGGATGGGAGCTCATTAGACTCGTGGGGTTCGACTGGCGGTCACTCTGCAGCCATTGACTGGCTGTTTTGGCACTTCTGGCTCGACGACTGATTGGTCCTCGGATAGAGGACAATGACTCGGACTATTATCAGGAACTTAATGTGGAGCACAAAGTAGGACTGGAGCGGTGGAGAACTGGATTTCTACACTGGGACAATAACTGGAAACTGGAGTGTGCAGCTCAGGCCTCAATGCCAAACATAACTGTTAACCTACCATGTCTGAGTCTAACTGTATCTAACACTGGAGTAGCCATACACTGATCATACTACATTGACTAGAGAAGTGCTCTACTGTGTACTGTAGCGTAACGTACTGAAAAAAAGAAAAAATATCCATAACCTGCTCGTTTTGAACTACTGCCAGATCCAAACGGAATAACAACCAAATGCCTGCCTAGATAACATGCTATGAATATCCACGTTAAAGCAAGTCTTAAAGACCTGGCTTTTAGAGAGTGCTGTGAGCCAGTTATAGCCAACACTGTATGTACAAACGCTTCTAGAAGATTATTTCTGGGGAGGGGGGGAGAAGAAGAACTTTATTTCCTAACTTATTTAAAAAAGAGAAAAAAACAAGAGGATATCAAGTCATCTAGTTCTCAAGTGTAATTATTGTTGCTGACATGTCTCAGATTATAATTATTGGTTGTACAACTGTTACTATTATGAATGTTATTTTTAATAAAAAATAAAAATATTCAACAAACACACATTTGATCGACACGTCCGTGTGAATCTGAGCGTGAATGTGAATGAAGGCTGGATGACATGAGGACAATGGTTCCTAAAGTGGGGCTGACCTCCCTTTGGGGGACACGGAGACACGACAGCGGGGTTGGAGCAGCTGGAGGGAGGGGCATGTTGTGTGGAAGTATTGCACTGACGTTGGGGTCATTTGAGGTGGATTGATAAACGAAGCAGTGGAGCAGACAGAATGAAGGCAGCAGATATTAATCACAGTAATTATCCTCAAGGATGACAAAGCCTGCTCACTCTGAGTTCACAGTGATTGAGGAGATACCTGTGTCGAAATCCAACAAGATGACTCCTCTAAATGTGGGTCATGCAAGAGAACTAGAGTATTTTCTACAGAAAACTGGTGAATATCTTCTGCCTAGAAAAACTAACAAAGTGACTTTGTATGAGGCTACGTTCAGAGTCTGGGAAAACAAAATCAAAAAACTGATAAATGCGTCTGATGGGAGTAAAGTTGGTCCTTCATGTAGAAGTTTAGTAACTATAGACCATTAAAAAATTGTAAATTTTACAATTTTAAAAACCTAACCCTAACTTTACAATAACCATCTGAGTAATGTTTATAAGTGGTTTATAAACCAAATATTAAACATTTACAAAGTGCTGCTGACACACATTTTAATCTAGATGTTTTACAACCAACATTTAAACCCTATATAAACCTTTAAGAAATAGTCCAATAATAATTAATGAAATTATTAATCATAATTTTATTGCTTGTGGTAAAGTAACTATTCACTAACATTAATAAACTAATTATTTACCATTTATAAATGATGGTTATTGTAAAGTGTCACTGAAAGTTTTCTAATATTGTAAATACAACATAAATCTAAGTCAGGCTATAGTTGTGGCTTGATTCGGTGATTTAAACAGAGTTCTATCATCGTCTCTGTTTACATGAATAGAGTTATATATACTGTAAGATGCTTGATTATTGTGATTTCAGTCGAACACGTCTGCATGTGTTTTCAAAGTCCTAAATGGAGCAGAACCTCAGAGACATTTTTTTAAACTACAAACAAAACTTTTATTTTAATCGAAAATTTCAATTTTCAGCGGCGATCAGATTACCGCCTGAGGATTTCTAATCCCTAACAAACCAATCAGTGTGTAATCTGGAGATATCACTGCTGCTCATGTAGATCTTCAGCCTGCCTGCTCTCCTCCTCTCTTCTCTAAAGACTGTTTGAACATTGTGCTTAAGCATAACTGAGTAAATCTGGTGATACGTAAATGCTTCAAAACAAGACAAAGAGTGATCCTTAGTTTAAAAACAGCATTTGTCTTATTATGGGATGTTACTTTTATGTCAATTCTCCCCTTGAAACACGTGGACGTGCACGTAAATCTGCTGCAAAATAACCACACAAGAGCGACGGTATTCAAGTGCAAGTCCGAGCACAAGTACTTGTGTGTGTGTGCGTTAGGTTGTGCACATGCATTCACACAAGTAGACCCTGAACGTCCTGCAGCTCTGTCACGCAAAGCGAGGCAGGGGTCAGCAGAAATGTCTGGTTGCTATAGGAACTTGCAGACGGACCCGTCAACAGAGAAGTATCGTATGGTGAAAGAGAGACGAGGGAGGGAGGAGAGGAGCAGGAGGGGGGTGTCAGTCCAGGAATGGAGGGAAGATGAACGGCAGAGAGAGGGAGAAGTAGAAAGGCCCAGTGAGGGGGACAGTGAGCTGAAACTTCTCAGCCCAGTGAGAAAGACAGCAGGGGCGTAAAAAATCATACAGGAGGATTTAAAAATAAATGATGCAGTAAAGAGCAGAGGCCTGTCAGAGTGTGATTTCACAGACAGAGTCAGGTTAAATGTCATTCAGTTGTGTAACGGGGTTCCCCCTCAAAGCTAATTCAGTCAGCAGATCCTTCTCTCTGAGAGTGATGACTCAGCGTGAACTGAACCAGGCCTGGGGGGCGGGGGCAGAAACACAACAACAACGACAACGACAACAACGAGAGCAGCAACGGCAACACACTTTCAGACGACCTGGATGGAGCGACACCGGCGTGAAAATGGTGAGATTCGTGCTCAAGGTGAGGACACATGAAAGCAGCGTCGATGCTGTAACTGTGCCGGTATTTTTGTCAGGGTCACAAGTCGCCGCCACAGGGCGCAGTGACTCGCCTCAGAGCGAGTGATGGCACTGATACACATCTATTAGCACAGGCTGTACTGCGCTTAGAGATATGAAAGGGAGGAGTGGGATAATAGAAAGAGGAATATTCAGTCCAAATGACGTTTGAAGACTCATAAAACTTCAGAGGAATTAAGGGCGTGCTTGTTCAGAAATAGACACGACCACGGAGGGAGTTTTCAACAAACGACAAAGAGTCTGCATGAAAGAGGAGGAATGAGAGGGGAGTCAGGAGATCTTCCAAGAATCTATGAACTAAAATGAGGAGACATGAGAAATCTCCAAGATTTCACCTCATCATGATGTCTGTGGACTGATCATGAGTGGGGGGGTCGAAGGAAGAGCAGTAAACCACAAGTCATGTCTTGAGTCTTCAGCCAAGAGTCCAAGTGAATGTCTCAAGTGTCGGAGTGTAGTGACAGGTCCCGACAAGTCTGTCCTAGTGTCAAAAATAACAAAACACAGATTTATTAAAATCAAATAAACATCCAAGTGGTTTCACATCAATATAACGTCATGGTTGATGATTGTAGAGATCGGTAATTATTATGAACCTCGTTTCCATGGTGATCATTGTCCTGTAGTGCGATCTCCATAAAGTGAAGAGAAACAAGAACAGAAAAAATCTGTGCACCCTATCAGGTGTAGGACTGCAAAAACATTGACCAATGGGAGCCATCTGTCCCGGACAGCTCCTATTGGTCAATTTCCTGCTCCGCCTCTCCATCCAATCACCTCACTGTATTCAACACACCCCTCTCCCATAGTTCCGACTCGTCCTCGGAGCTCTGAGTGGCTAAAAGTAGCGTAGCAGCTTAGCTACAGGAGCTGGGATGGAGAAGGACGCAAAAAAAACCCCACTTCTGCTCGAAGAAAACGCAAGCGGACAGAAGAAAGGGCGGAGTCAAAGAGGACATGTGACCAAGCGAGGAATCTAACGTGAATAACCATCGGGTCATCCTTGGAGTGGTGGAGAAAACAGACACAGAGACAGCAGAGTTTTAGTTGAACAGGTCATTTTGATCTCCTTTTATCGTGGCTCATGTTACATAAATAACTCTGATTAGTCTCTGACATGTCAACACGGTAGCTGTCCAGGCAGCTGCAGACGGCGCTCGCTAGCAGAGCTGGCGTTTACTGACGCTAGTCACTAACAATCCGACATGGTGGATCCTATTTGAAGCTAGCGTAGGGTCTTCTGTCAGAGGGGGTGTGTCGTGACTTTGTGACTGTTTTGATTTTGGCGCCCCCTTTGGACAAAACAGCCTTTGCTCATCTAGTCATCCTGTCACATTGATCATTTTTGCTGAATATCTTATGAGGTAAAAAATTCTACAAACTCGTCACAGGAGCTTTAAAATATTAAAGAGGATTAAAATCAGACCCAGTAAACTGGAACGACTGATTATCAGTCATTGATCGGTCATTGATCGGTTGATGTTTCCAGAGAAAATTCTCAGACCACTTTTGCTGACGAGGTCTTTCAGACGCCACTAAGACTTGTGTGAAAAATACACAGTCATCAAGAAAAAATCAGGGAAGTTTCCGAGTTCCTCTAAAGATCTCGTCCGTCTCCTTTCTTCTCGTGTGACCTCTTTCTTTTAAATTTATTGTTTCTTCCATTTTTGCTCGACCTCAGTCTGCCGTTTTTATCATCTGTTCCCACGAATCTTTCTGTCTCATGTCTTCTCTTTTTTTGGAAGTCATGACCCCGCAGTTCGGTCCAGCAGCCAAAAGGCAGCTAGGTGTGAGGATAGGCGGTGTAATGATCCGGTGAGGGTGAGCCAGAGTTCAGCCGGGTCACAGAGGCCAGACAGACCCTCTCAAATCGGTGCACTGTGGTGTGTGTGTGTACGCAAACACGGGTGAGTGGGCGTGCGCGCGTGGCTGCCTGCCATACCTGCGGTGTCCCTCTGACGAGTGTGTGCGACTGTGTCCGTGTGTTGTGAAACAAATGGAGAGTGTGTCTTCTGGCACGGTGTCCCTGTGTGAGCGGCTTAATGAGCTGGTTGCTGGCAGCCAATCACGGCCACCGGCAACCTCCGAGGTCACACCGTGGCGTCTTGTGTAAACAGTGTGGCCGGCCCGCCTACATTTGACAAACACCTGACAAGACGCACACACACTTTAGAGGAGAGGTCGCGGTGGTTAGGGCACCGTTTTAGCAGATAAACAGACATGCTTAGAATGCATAAATGAAGAGACACACACACACAGACACACACGCACACAGACACGCACACACAGACACACACGCACACAGACACACCTTCCTGACTCACCTGTGTGTGTTTATGTCAGTATGTGTGTGTGAGATGTCATCCCTTTCACCTGAGGGGATCCGATTATTACGAAGACGATGACTCACTTAATGCACAACATCGCACACAAACACCTTTGTGTCGTTTATTTATCCACCTGTAAATCACAGCAGTCGCTTTGAGTTCGATTATAAATCAAACGTAAATTCTTTGTTTTGACATTAACAGAGAAACGTTCTGATTGGCTGCGACATTTCGCCCCCCCGAACATGATAACATGAACTAATGTTGCGTTACAGTAACCTCATAAGTTGGATGTCTGAGCTGAGATCGACTTTACAGTTGAGTTGACGAGTGGAAAGACCAAGATGTCAACTACTGTTATAAAATTTAGCTGTTGTTAGCTAGCATTAGCCACTGTTAGCTGTTTTTAGCTGTTCTTAGCCATTGCTAGCTGTTCTTCGCCATTGCCGTTGGCTGTCGTTAGCTATCATTAGCTGTCATTAGCTGTCTTTAGCAGTTTTTAACTGTTTTTAGCTGTTATTAGCCATT